TTCACTATGGGTTCGTTCAGTCAAGGTCAGACTCATCTATTTTTAGTAAAAGCTTTTGTGAACCAGGCGAGAAAATGTATTTAGCATTGTATGTTGATGATGGCTTGTTGTGTGGAAAGGATGAGGACGAAATGAAGAATTCGCTTAGCGATTTACCCAAAGAGTTTAAAATCCTTTTTTCTAATGCTGAATGTTTTGTAGGAATTCAGATCGATAGAAACGAGAAAGAAGGTCGTTTAAAAATTCATCAAACAGCATATGCTGAAAGAATTCTGAGGAAATTTAATCATGAAAAATCTAATCCAGTCATTATTCCTGCCGATCCGAGTATTAAATTTTCGAAGTCATCTGATTACGTTAAAGAAAAGTTTGATTATTCTTATAGGCAAGCAATAGGGTCATTGATGTACTTGATGATCTGTACCAGACCAGATCTAGCGTTTATTGTTGGGGTATTGAGTAGATATATGGAGAAACCGCAGTATGAACATTGGTGTGGCGTGAAGCGTGTTTTCAAATATTTGAGAGGAACTATTAATCATGGGATTTCTTATGGGCTAAATTCTAATTTGGATGAGATAGTTGCATATAGTGATGCTGATTACGGTGGTGATATCGATACAGGACGTGGCACACGGGCTGGGTATGTTTGTTGAACGAAGGACCAATCGCGTAGAGTAGTCGTCGACAGCCAGTGGCAACAACGTCCACTACCGAGGCCGAATTTCTCGCGCTGTGTGCAGCTTCGAAACAAATTGTTTGGTTGAGAAGTTTATTGTATGAGATGGGCTATAAACAAAAGAGTGCAACTACACTATTCTGTGATAATCAACGTGCAATCACCATTGTTAAAAATCCTGGATCTTCGAAGAGGACTAAGCACATTAATCCAAAATTCTTTTATACAGTTGATATGGAAGAAGCCAAAGAAATTCACGTTGAGTACATTGGTACGAACGATCAACTTGCTGATCCTTTAACTAACCTTTAGCCTCTGAAAAATTCCAGGGTTGTCGTGAACGCTTGGGAGTATTGGAATGAATGAAGTAAAAAGCGAAGGGGAGTGTTGAATTATGCGCCTTTTACTCATGCAAACTGTCGCTAGGTTGCGTGCGCGTGAGTTGAGAACTAGCATCATTACGTATGGACGAATATACCAGGTGGGCACGTTTTTATTCTGGCTCCATAATTATTTTATTTGCGCTAAACAATTCATCCTGAAATACACAGAGCAAGGGTGCTGTATCGCACTGTATCAGTTATCTTTATTATCCTGAATAAATATTCATTACCTATTCTTAACCACTGAGTTTATTCACTACATTTCCTTAAAAATTAATATTCAAGAAAAAAACGTCCTTGATGCACTTCAAATGCCCCCAAGTTAATCACTGCGCTCATGCACCAAGTACGTTTTTTTCTTGAACTCTAAATTTGTTTTCAAATTTCAATTTTCCTCGTTTTTTGCCATTCACGTTCTTTTTTATTTACTTTTCTAACTCTTCCACTTTCAATTCAAATTGGCTTGTGTTATGACTTAATGTATTATTGTAATTGGTAAGTTCTCTCTGTTCAAGAATATCAGATACTATATAGTCAGATTGAACTTGTAACTAATTACCAGTGTGAAACTTTTAATAATTTCAAGCTTCGTGTCTTAGAACATGAAGTTGGATCGATTCTCATCTTAGATTCAAAGCCCTGATCTTGTAGGTTACAGAAAGAAGTACTTGTAATATTGTTCTGATTTCATCTGTTTTTTCCACCTTTCTTAAAAGCATTATTTTTCCAGCAAAAGAATTTCAAGATACATACTAATCTTTCTCTTTTTTTGCAAAAATGTATGTTTTTGTTTTTTTTGGGAGATTTCGCATCTTTTTTTAACGTTTCTATCCGAAGATGTAAAAGTCAATAAAAATTTTTAAGTGACGCCCTGTTTATGCCTTTCTAAGGTGAGCATACATGCACCCGTAGAGTTGTGCGCCCATTTTTGTTTTTTGACCCGCAGGTCATCAATTTCTCCCCATCCGGAACGATTCTTTCCATCTCTGATCATGGTCTTGTAATGCCCATCCTTAATGGACACACCTTCGTGGAATATTGCACTCTTAACTTTGTAATTAATTGCACATCAGTTAATTGTAACAGTTGGAACAGATATGAAAAGGAAACTTTTTCTCTTATTATCGCCGCTCAGTTTGAGAATACAGGCAATTTTAGAATGACAATTTGATTCGGCATCGTAACCTCAATTTTCCTTCGTACTGAATTTTCACACTTGCAATTCTCACACATATCCATGGTGTCAAACCAATGAGAAAATTCTTCAGCGATGAAATCTGTAAGTTTAAACTTTTCTGGGTTTGAAGCATCGGGAGTAATGCGAAGCAATTTGAATCTTCAGTCGTTAGTATATATTGACAGTGTTTGCATATTGAACACGGATTTTCAAGGTATGCTTGGTCATTTCGTTAAGAATCGTACAATTTCCACAAAGTTTCTCTAAGAAGAGAGCTGGATCTTGTTCTTTTTTGAGACAGAATTGCTCACCCGCATATTGCCTGACTGATGATGTACTCAAATCTTGCTGTCCTTGCAAATATAATTTTACGATCATATTCAATTCAGTCCAGTTGGCTTCCGATTCGTTCATGAAACCTCTCCGTATTATCGCAGAATGAATCAAACATTGTAAGACTGCATTTGCATAACTGAATACTCGATCAATATTTTCAAACCCATGAACCACATTGGCTCTCAAAAGGTTATGCATTTCATTTTGCTTTGCAATTACATCGGCGTCTTGAAGAGTTCAAGACCGATCGCAAACTTTATGCCACCGTCTATCAGAAATTGCAATCTTGGGTAAATCAGGACGATAGATTTCTCGCAATCTGTTGTATTCGTCAATTGCCAAGCCATTTGCTGTGACTGAATGTGGATCGAAATTTATCAAATGTAATCCATCTAGTGTCTTGACGCGTGAAAGAGCTACATGTTTGTCCCGGACTAAAAATCGTCATTCCGGCATCAATCACAGCGCATTTCAAACTCAAACTTTAGCTTTTATGAATCGTTGTTCCATAATTCAATTGAATAGGAAAGTGTTTACGAGTCACGTAGACGCCCTCTGTGACTTCAACTTAACATTCATAGGTTCAATAATACGCTCTGTCCCAGTGTCTAAGCAAATGGTGATGTATTCGATATTTTTACTTTCAATACCTTTATTAACAGAAATCACAGTTCCAATTGCTCCATTAACAAGGCCTAATGTAACATCGATATTGCGACGAATCATCACTTTTGCTCCTATTTTTATTGTGATCACTTGAGGAAATCCGGCTGTACGAATTTCATCGTTCTCAATCTTCTTTAATGCATCGCGTATTCTTTTATTCAGAGATTTGGATCGTTCGAGAGTATCCGTTGCAGTGAGGATTATTTCTTCAGATCCAATTTGTTCTACCATTACTGTACAGTAGATTCTCTCTAATTCGACCGGTTCGGGATGTGTCCTTGGGTGATTTTCTCCGAATCTCGGATAGGAGATTTCCTCCCACTCTGTTCTATTGTTGAGCAGTGTGAGCGTATAGGAATGGTCCGCTTAGTGGGGAGTTACGGAATAAAGATTGTAGAAGGGGAAAAACAACAGAACCTATGACTGTCAAATGAGAGCTGTCGAAAATGAAAATAACTTCTTCCCTTCGGGTCGGGAAGTTAATAAAAATGTAATGATTATAACTTTATTTAAAAAATGACAGGTAGATAAACCCTTGATGTTTATAATACTAATTGGTATTGCAACAATTGAGTTTAATTATAACTTTGTTTAAACTTAAAAAATACTAGACAACTATGACTCATTGGTCTAAATATTTGAACAAATTTTATGATGAATCACATCTTAGTTGCATCTGAACTTCATTACGGTGAGAAAATAACGAATTGTTTAAGTACATATTTCTTAATTAATAATTAATAAGTGCCATTATTTATTTCATTCATCGCTCGCAACTTGAAGTCGATTTGAGTAGAATTTTTGAGTTGAGTTTAGCTTAGTATTTGCCGGGTGTCCACATTTTTTCGTTTTTAGAGGTTATGGTTGTCGGCAACACGTAGATGGGCCACATTCAATTTATCTCGTTTGCGCAATTCTCCGCGCATGACGTCATGGACAAGGATGGATAATATTCCATGAGTGGTGGAACGTTCTTGGAGGGAGGGCAGGCTCGGAGGGGAAATTTTGCAGATTGGAGAGTCGTCGAATTAGAGAGAATCTACTGTATTCAATATCAAGAAAAAAACTACTCGGCGTACTTCCCTCAGCTTACCGTCTCTACTTAAAAGCCCTCAGATTACCAAGTACGCCAAGTACAGTTTTTTTCTTGAGAAGTTCAATATTTTTTCTAATCCAATTAACTGTCGTTTGGGAGCTTTTAATCACTCCTGCCTTTTCTTATACAAATTCGAGACAGAAGGACTTGTTGCATTGTTTTTGTTTCATTAATTTTTGATTCAATCTTTCTGGAGAGTTAATCATTTCGAAGGTACATACTTGTATTTTTTTACCAAACGGAATTTGTTGTTTTTTAGGACATTTTACTTCTTTTGCAATCGTCCTTGGAATTCAAACTACGAGTATTTGAAGATATGAGAATCAATTGGCAATGTCAACAATTCTCAAAATATTTCAACATTTTTTTGAACATTTATTATTAAATTGTCAGTTCTTTATTCTCTCTAGAGAGTAACGTTTTATCAATTGGGGTTTTGCATATGACAGGAAATACAGAAAAAAACGATCGTTTATGATAGAGAAGAGTGAAAAAATACTGCGCAAAAGATTTTTTTTTCAAAATCATTTGTTACATTACGAGTAATAAATAAATAAAAATCGGTGAAAATACGAAAAAAGTCACATGATCCCAAATGCTCTGTGATTGGTGTGACGTCACAAGTCAGTTTCAGCGGGCCGTTTGATGTATACAAACGTTTCCATATACCCGGAAAGTGTTCATGAGTGAATAAAAATAAAAAATGAGGCTTCGACCGGATTCAGGTTTTGTTTGTGCTTTATCTAATAATTTACCTACAGTGGATTCCTTCATGGTGGCGCAGTTGTTTGGGAATAATTCAGATTTAATTGCAGCAGAAATACGAGGAGCGAAAGCTAACCTGTAAGTGCTCATTAATAGAAGTGAAATGAACTATTCATTGCTAAAATCGGATCAATATCATAATTATTTGGCGTATTCCTCTTTGTGAATGATTGAATATTCAGAGCCAATTATCCTTTGATAGATCTTGTAGAGGGTCATATGGAGATGCAGCTATATAGGTTATGTACAAGTACAACGTGAAGGTTCTGTATGTACAGTTCAATGCAAAATGACTCCTGAGCATCGGGTTGGAAGTAAACCTTACAAAGTTACAATCAAAGTGGACATGAAGGAGAATTCTGTGATATCTGCCGAATGTCATGACTGTGTAGCTGCCCCAGGTGATGAAAAAATATATTCTGTCGTGCATCAATCACGAGATGAAACTTGGCAGTATCTTTCCAACTATAGCGATTGTTTCATTATTCAGGGGGCTGTCAACATGCTATTGCCTTCCTAACGTGGTTACATCGAAGAAGTGAGGAACCGTTGCCCACTGAAGTAGCCTGTTACTGGAAGAAATCAACTCTATCGAAGATTGGTTCCGATATTAAATTCATAAAGGCTAAAGATTTTCCATCATCTCAAGACGCCACTCCTATGGAAAAAAATCTCAATGTACGGGAATTATTTGTGGAGGAATGTGCATCAACACAATTCAACTGTCAATTACTTAATTATTATCGTGACACTGAGAGTTATCTAAGGGTAACGATACATGATTTGTTGATTAATTTTATTGAGCAGGGAGGAAGTTCAGCTGATCAGTTTTTCTCTTTCTGCAGAAATAAAATGTCAAATACTATTTGCGACAATGTAGAAAGAATGCCGAGAGATCAATTTAACTCTGAACTCTGGTTTAAATTGGGTTATGGTCGAATAACTGCTTCCAAATACTATGAAACATCTCGTTGTACTAAATCTGATGGGGTGTTGGTAGAGTTGATAACAGGAGGTAAAAAAATAACCCTGGCGAATAAGGATCCATGTTGTAGCATGGATGTAGCATGGATGTGCATGGATGTC